AAAAAAAGGAACGAACAAACTAAAAGGAAACCTATGGACAGGAATCCAAAAAAGCATGATGGAAGAAGTAAATAACATAAACGGAAACAACAGATGAAAAATCACTTCCATGGAAATTTATTTACAAATGGATCTTTAGCATTTTGCAGAATAAACCCAGATTTAATTGACACTAATTGAATAAGAATCCCAAAACTAGCAACTCATAGCAAAACACTACAAGCAAAATCCATGAAAACAGAATGCCTAGAAATTTATATTCGGATTTCAATCCTATCCTTTTTAATAGACATCCCAAGCAAGCTTAGGCTAATGATTAATAATTCTCAATATAATGCTAAAAACTAAGCCAACCCGAAAATTGAGCTATAGGTCAATGATTCCTAATCAAAGGATGTTGAACAGAACCTGAATCTTTGTCAGACTGGGAATCACTGTCTCGATCGCTCCTCAAAGAAGAACGGCTATCCCATTTTCCATGAATGCCCCTAGAGTAGGTACCAGTGTCCCCTCGAGTAGGTGGAGACGCACCATACTCACTTCTTCTAAAACCATGAAATGTTCCCGGAATTCTTGGTCGATCAGGTACTCCTATCAAGGCATCCTTCACCTCACTGTACCAAAAAGAAACGTACATACTTAAAAATGTAGACAGCTCAGCATAAATTTTAAACATTTTAAGCTTTACTCATTCGCATTTGGATATGTCATTGGGTGATTCTTTAGTGCTGCTTTACGGTTTTACCTTGACAGTGACTCCTCAAACCCGCTGGGCAACTTCTTGCAGGAGTCCAAGTTACTCAACGACATCAGGAACTCTATTGAATAGGATAATTTCAGCTTCCTGCATCATCAAAACAAATCTTCCATCATGATTCATGCACCAGCAAAATATAAAATCACAAATGAAAACAAAGCAGACAAAGAGGGAAAGTATTTTACTTCGAAACATCTGAATGTTCAGAACCCTTATCCAGGGACCTTCCATCTTCGTTCTCTGAACTCATTCTTCTGTTCTGAGTAAAAAAAAAAAACTTCCCTCCACAAACAAACAAGTGCAATCTACAAAATCACACAAATCTCCCCAGCCAAACCCAATTCACCGTGAGATTCTAAAAAGAAAGCAGAAAATTTGATTTTTTTTTTCCCCAACCCAAATGAAAAACCTAAACTTCCCCAACTTCCGAAAACTCTAGCTCTATCAAATTATTGAGCCGATCCCATACATACTCAAGTCAAATGCTGAAATTCGAGCTAAAATTCACTAATCCACCCAGCTCAATCAAACCCCACGCCGTAATTCCAACCAAAAAATAAAAATAAATTACAACTCTTGGAATTAACCCTCATCCGCTGCCCTAATCCTCAACTACTAACTTCAAATCTCGAGGTTTCCATTTGATAGATCAAAATATGAACAAAAACGTAAAGGGAAAAAACCTAGGGCACCATTTTTTCTCATTTCCTAATATCCGATCAATCAAGTGTTTGGGGAGAGAGATGAAATCACGCAAACATATGCATACTTTCTGCAGCCATGAAAGGCTTTATATATACAGAGATGAGCTTGCAGGCAACATGTATGTATGTATATGTATATATATCTCGATTTGCTTGCGAGAGGGAAGAAGAACGATAAGAGTGAATTTTTTTGGGAATTAAACGATGGAGAAAAACATTTCAACACACTTCCGGAAATGGGGATCGTATCACGCTCTGTTTTAATGAGTGGTGACACGCGCCGACCGCCGTTGCTTTCCCCTTTATTAATTAGCTCGTGTGATTGAAACGTGTTCGCTGACGCGTGGGGCTGGGTGTGTATTTAAAGTCTACATTTGGTTTCATTTTATAAATTTTGGAAAATCATTGGTTTATTATATATGGATGGATGTGGATGTGGATGTGGAATAGTTACAAAACAAGCCTTTGTAAATTTGCAGAACCTAATAGTGTATTTATTTTTTTTTTTTTAATGATCCAAATGTGCCTTGTGCTTGTTAATTATAAACATTGCATTTATACATTTTTATTTGAATTTTCAATTATTATTATTATTAAATTTGAATTGAAACTAAGAAAAATAATAAAATAAATTCCACGTAGCTCGTTCTTTAAAAGACATGCCGCATGAATTAATAATTCAACTTATAATTGAATTAAAAATTCGTTCTTCATAAATCAACAAAGGCGAAAATAAAAAAGAAACTCTGTAAAAGGCATATAAAAAAAAAACCTAGATTCAAAATAATCTCTCCAATTTCTGCAAAATATTGTCCTTACACGAAAGATTGAAGGCAATAATGAAGGGAAATAAAAATAAGCAACAACTTAAAGTTATTTTACCGTTTTGTGGGTTGTATATTTTTGCTCCGACCAAATGAATGATTTGTTTATTTTTGTTTTTTTTTTTTTGGGTACGAGAAAGGAAAGCAAAGCAAAGTTAATGCTAGATCACGATCGGGCGTGGATGAACAACGCCAATAAGATCATGGTGTAACCAATAACCCGCTCTTAAAGGAGGGCGATCAAATCGGTGCAGACCACCTGCACCCTTTGCAGCAAGAGAAGTCAGAAAGTCCGCCACAAAGTTTGTCTCACAGTGGCCATGAACAATCTCCAGATCCCACGGACGACCCATCAGCTCTTTAATCCCCTTAATAAGACTCCCATGCGGCCCGGGGAGCTCCTCACGATTAACCATCTCAATAATACTTTGGTTATCAACTTCCGTTACAATTTTACGAGCCCCGATATCCAATGCCAACTGCAATCCCTTGAATAAATCCCAAAGTTCAGCTCCCACGATTGAGCAAAAACAATATTCATCGTAAAACCACTGACCCATGCCCCATGATGATCCCGCACAACTCCCCCAGCACTAGCCATCCCCGTAGCCGGAACAAAGCTACCATCCGTATTAATTTTTAAAGTATCATCTGGCGGAGTAGACCAAGCGAGCCACCTCGTTTCTCGCCGAATACACGCCGCAACCTTCTGGCTTTCTGCTAGCGCACCCCTTACTCGGCTCGAGCATGATAGAACCTCACGGACTCGCTGATTCATGGTAGTCTCCAAGCCTTCAAACACCACAAGGTTCCTCCATTTCCACATTCGCCACGCGGTCAGGCCGAATAACGTAGGTCAATCATCCACCTTCGGGAGAAAACGGCCCGTCAGATTTTGCGAGAGCCATTCTCGGAAATTCAAGGAGAAAAACACCCTCCATTTCTCACGTGGAACGAGGCACCTCAAAGTCGATTTCGCTGCAGCACAATCTCGTAAAACATGCGACGCAGTCTCAACCTCCATTAAGCAAACCGGACACGACGGGCTAGAAGCCATGTTGCGCCGCACGCGATTCTCATTGGTCAACAAACATTGCCAGACAGCTAGCCATAAAAAAGCACGTACTCGTTGCGGGCCTGACCGCCGCCAAATCACCCTCCATAAGTTGTCGAGACAACCCTTGTCCGGCGGCACCAAAGCACGATATGCCGAGCGCGTAGAGAACCTGCCATCCTCCGACCACCCCCAATACAGGCCATCAGCCCCACCATGTTCATGTGGCGGCGGTATCGCCGCAATGCGGAGTAGAAGCGTTGCCGGCAACATGCCTTGAAAGAGCGGCCAATTCCAACGCCTGTCCGGCGCCACAAACACACATACCGGGGCCTGAAGCTGATCTTCTGGGACCGGGGTAGTGTCAAAATTTATCTGCGGGTCTCGAAGAGGCAACCATCTATCCCACCAAAATCGTACGCTCCAACCATCACCCAAAGTCCGTCGGCTACCCGCCACCATCTCTGGCCAAGCGTCCCGAAGAGCACGCAGCACTATCGAGCCGCTGGGAAACTCTTAATCCTCGCCCATCGCCCAAGGTTGTAAATTGTATATATCTTACATATATAATATTTTACGGATTAAGGTTATGTGAAATTTATTTTATTTGTTTTCATATCTTATTTTAACAAACGAGGTCCACATTTTGTGGCGGAGGTGGAAACCTTGATTCGATTTAACACCGAAAGATCGAATACTTGTAATATATAAAGTTTGTGATTGAAATGCAAAAACTTAAATTATGGTGCTTCTATCTGTTGATATCCAAGTTAGCCCGAGATGAACCGGGAAGACATTGCCTACCAAGACCTGAGCTGAGGACCCGGCCGACACAGATGTGTCGAGCTGAACTGAGAAATTAAGTACTCAGGACCTCCACGGGAATGTTTTCCCAGGCCAGCGCCCGACTCAGTACATGCACAAGCCGACCTGGATGGGTGTCGGGCTGAAAGAGGAATCCTGGGCGTCCCATAAGTATACTGAAGAGAATTGCCGACCTAGAATCCGGAGTGGCTATCTCGAAGGCAAGGGTGGGGCTCGGTAAACATTAAAATATTCCCACTTGGAAGGTCATCATTGGATGATGAGACGAGTTGTCATAGCCTGTCACTCTACAAGCAAGCTTTGTCAAAAAGTCTGCCAGCATTAAATGCCCCCATGCTTGCATTAAATGTCTAACAGACAATTATTGAAGAAACCTCAAATCACATTAAATATGTCAAGGAAACGCCGAACTGCTTTGCAAAACTAGTGTGCGACAAGACCGGTGAACAGTACCTGAACAGTACCTCATTTAAGGACAGTATAAATAGCAACTCACTTCATTTATTTTGGGTTGTTGAATCTCAACTAACTCTGTCTTCTCTCTACTTTCTCTCTAAAACTGTAAGAAAATTTTGTAAGGATTGCAAGTATATCGTAAGTGCCGACCTCGTACGAGAAGCCGACCTAGCGATCGTTTAATAAAATCGTAATTAACCTATATCATTCCCTTGTTTTCAGTCCTGCACTTTCATTATTTATTATTTTAACCATTGACCGAAAACGCTCGTAAATACTATCACCCACTCAATATCATTTATTTGCAAAATATCAATAAGTTGTAAACACTTATTAATATTTATCAGTCAAATACTTTTTAGTATTACTAGATTCATTTTCAAGTCATTTTTTTGTAATATTCATTTAATAAAATCTAAAATCATCTCGTATTCAAGCACTATTTTTGTACACACTTTAAATATTTCATAAAAGAAAAAAAAAATACTACATACTTCTTATTTTACAATATCCAACAATAACAAACTACTAATATTAATACTCATGTACAACATTAATATTGAGTTAATGAATATATGTATCAAGTTATTTACGTTTAATAATAAACCTAACTCCATAGCAAAAATAATATAAAAACAACATCACGAAGCATAGATTTTCTGCCATGTAAGCATCCGAAGCGTGAGAATCTGCCACCTAAACTCAACACGTTTTGAATTAATATATAGGGAGGGATATATCAAAAATTCTATGACACTATATGTGACACTATATTATGGTGCCACAACATGATGTGTGATAGTGCCACATCATATCGTGGCACCATAATATGGTGCCACATGTGGTGCCATAGAATTATTGTGGATATATATGGAGGGATTTGTTTCGTTAAACAAATCCTTATTTTTGAATTTACTCCACTCGTAACTACACATTAAACCGGGATTAATGATCTGTTTTAGTTCATTATCCACCGGCGCTGTAATCGAAGCATATGGTTACATATAAAACTCATCCGATATGATGATTTCCTACGCAGTGGGAACAGTGCCAATGGCTAAGCCCTCGTTTATCCGAGCCGAGCAGCCGCTGCCTACGGATCTCGCCGCGGACCGTGCAGCTCCCAGTGGAGGCGGCGCCGCCACCTCTCGCCGCCGGAACATCGTATTCGTCGTCAATCCCCGAGGTATCTCTCAATTGCGTTTTTGTTGATATAATCCCCGAGGTACCTATAATTTGTCCTGTTGGAATCGAAAGGAGATTCAGTTTTGATTTGTTAATATTTTGTAGTTTACATTTGTTTGTAAAAGATCCCCATAAACGTGAATGGTTGAAATTGGTGCAGGAGCTAATGGGAGGACTGGCATGGAGTGGAAGAAGCTGCTGCCTTCCTTAAGGTCACGCCTGGGTTCTGATTATAACGTGAGTTTTATATTTTTGTGTGAATATAAGCATACCGTCTTTAAATTTTTGGTTGCAGACTTGCAGTTTGAATATTTGAGCCATGTTCTGTCAGTGGCTGTAACAAGTCTAATAAAACTAGACTGTTTTGCCTGATTCCTAAGTTTCTCAAATACTGGCAGGAAGAAAACGGTGAATACATAACACCATAAATTTAGATACATGTGAGTATGATGAATCTTGAGAAAACAAGTTACTTTTTGGTGCTGGATTTTTGTTTGAGTAAATTGTAACTCTTTCGTCCTCTTCGAATTGCATTTTTTATTTTCGTCCCTTATGTTTGCAAAAAGGTTACAAAAAGGTTTTTTCGCAACACACAGATCACTTATGTTTTGCAAAAAAGGTTCCAATTTCGTTCTTTTTGTATGCTCGAGGACCTTTTTGTAACCTTTTTGCAAACATAAGAGACAAAAATAAAAAAAAAAAACAATTCGAAGAGGACGAAAAAGTTAGAGTAGTGAATCATACATGCGTAAAATTACTATTTACTCTCTTTGTTTTCCTTCGGAGAATTTTGTACCGAATGATATTTTGTTATTCACTTGTGTTAAATAGCTCCTGGGAACCTGCTTAGTTATTTTGTGGTCTATTTTCTGATTTTGAAAAATTGCTCCTTTTCACTGTAGTAGACGAGCTGTGCTAACCATTTCCTTTGGATCAACATATGTATTAAATTAATTAGTGAGACCCTGTTTTCTTTTCGTGGACAGATATGTGAATCTTTGACTTCTGGACCTTTCCATGCCATTGATATTACAAGGGAGGTGAGAACGTTAGTTATGTGAACATAAAGCACTATGCCAACAAGATGTGAAAATTTTTTGGCTGTTATGGCCAGGCTATACGAGAAGGTGCTGATGCAGTGATTGCGGTTGGAGGAGATGGAACTCTTCATGAGGTGTATTTTATTGTTCTTTTACTTTATTTACATTGAAGCTTGAATTTTCTTTATCATGAACCTCTTCTTAGTTGTATCACAGAATTACGGTCTACGGGTGATAAGATAATCAATAAGATTGCTGAAAGAGTCTTTGATGTGTTACTTTTGCTCCATATTTGAGCGCATAACAATATGCAAGGATTTTTCTTCCCGATTCAAATATTTGTTTCAAACAATGTAGAATAGTATTATGTTTCTGTATAATTTTGATCCGTTGTAGGGAAATCATTTGTTTGTACACCGTGCACCAACACGTACACAGACATGTGTGTGTATTTATATATGCAAACTGTAATTACAGAACCCAATATATTCCCTTAGACAAAAAGAAAGGACAATAAAAAAAGGTACGAAATGAAAATGGAGCCTAACTTATTTCCGTGATGCAACTATATCCTTCATGTGTTAATACATTTACCCAGCTAAAGTGCCTGCAGGTTGTTAATGGGTTTTTCTCGGGTGGAAAACTTGTTTCTAATAGCGATCAGTCTGTCCATGCAACTGCTCTTGGTGTAAGTAATAACCACCTTTTTAAATTTGCAATAAATAGTTTTCTTTATCAGCGAAACCGAGTTCCTGCATGAGCCCCTTTCCAAAAGTGAGTAATGTAATTATTGAAAACGGTTGTCTTTTTTGTCCTCTTACAGCTAATTCCACTGGGAACTGGTTCTGACTTTGCTAGAACATTTGGTTGGTTAGTTGATTGTACTGGTTCTAGTTTTCGTGAATGAGGTTTTTATTACTTGCAATTTCCTTTACTCAATTTTTAAAGCAGACTATATCCCTGCTTTGGTTATATCAGGAATAACGATCCTTGTGATGCCATTGAACGTATTTCTAAAGGTAATCTACTTGTGCTTCTCCTTGTATAGAAATTGTGCATTAGATTTTTGACCCGTGCATAGAATGCAAAGGTAATCGACTTGTATTTCTCCTATTATAGAAATTGTGCGTTAGATTTTTGACCTGTTCATAGAATGCAACCCTACTGATGCATTACTTTCAGGAATTCGATCCCGCATTGATGTTGGAGTTATTACTGGAGAAAGCGGAGAACCACACTATTTTGTTAATGTTGCTGATATTCATTTGTAAGCATGTATTTGTCGAGAATGTGTAGAAATATGTCTGTGACAGGAAAATGTATATTTACTTTTGGTTGATGGTGATTATCTTAACCTTTGCAGGAGTGCGAAGGCTGGTTATTATGCATCGAGATACAAGAAGTTTGGAAATCTCTGCTACGTAATTGGTGCTTTGCAAGCTTTTTTCAGTCACCATAACCGGGACCTTAGAATAAAGGTACCTGTCTTAATATATCATTTCTTTCTAATGATTTTTCGTTCTGTTTGTTTGGCATTTTCCTAATAAATATTTCCCTATATTATAATCCTGCAAGTTCGATAATGGTGAATGGGAAGTTTACCCTAAGGTAACAGCTCTTTGCGTTGGGAATGCTAAATATTTTGGTGGGGGAATGAAGATTACACCAAATGCCCACCCGTCTAGCGGCAACCTTGAGGTCGACCTTTTTCACTTTATGTGGTCCACGGCCCCTCAGAAAATAATAATACAGAATTTCACTTCAGTTGCTTTGTGTTCAGGTGGTTATTCTTCAAGACTTCAAATGGTATGATTTTGTCTTCAAACTGCATAAGCTATACAACGGCACACACTTATCAGTGAAAAACGTATCGTCAAGAAGGTAACACCCCCTCCATAATATATTAGATTCGGTGAAGTTTGCGTGGCGTAAAATACAAATGTCATATTTTATTTTGTTTATTTGCATTGTTTATCGGTTCCCAATTTGCTAAAGTTGGTGCAACTAGCCTCACAGCTCCATATCCTAACTTCTTGATGCTTCATATTTTTTTCCAGTGTAAGTTCAATCGAGATCGAGGAGGTTGTCAGTAGTAATAGTATTTTTGTCCAGTCTGATGGGGAATATCTAGGATTCCTTCCAAAAAAGTTTAGCATTTTGCCTGGTGCTATTGACATGATATGTTAGATTAGGACGGATGCATTTTGCCAGAAATATCACTGCAAGACAGGGGAGATAGTTAAGCATATGCTTCACCCGTAGAACGAATCTGATTGCATATATTTTTCCAATTTGAGTGTCCACATATTTGCAAGAGAATAATGTATGCCGTTAGTGAGACTTGTTGAATATTGAAACTTATAAAAAATCACTGCTGTTGTTTGGTACTGCAATGTTGATTTCTTGAATTTTCAGCTTGCTGATTATTTATTTATATTTATGTGTATACAAATGCAAACTTGAATTTTAAGCTACTGCATGAAGAATGTACATCAAGTCTTCAACTGAATTAAAACGCACACACACACACATAACCTTTTCAAAGGGGGAGAGAGAGAGGAATAGAAAATGCAGGTTCCTCTCACTCTCTTATTCTGAATCAAGAACAGACACAAGAACAACCTCAAAACACCATCAAAGCACCTACACCAACTCCTTTTCTTCAGCCCCACTTTTTCAAATAGTCGACAAACTTCCTGATACAATCATCGTTAATTTTCTTATTCCCGAAAATGCCCTCTGCAGCCTCTTTGGCGCGCGCCCTTAATCTCTCCCCATCCTCCGAAACCATAGCTTTCCTCAAAGCACTCGCAATACCGTCCCTGGTGAAAATTCCATCTTTGCCCCTCTCGACCTCCACCGCCAGGCCTTTCTCGACCAGCAACCTCGTGTCCAGTGGCTGGGCAATCACAAATGGCAGAAGCACGAGGCTGTGTCCGTATATTGCTGTCTCTATAATGGAGGCCCACCCGGCATGGAACAACGAGCCACCGATCGATGGGTGGCCGAGGATTTCCCTCTGTGGGGCCCACCCGGCCTGGACCACCCCTCTCCCCACCGTGCGCTGGGCGAAGTCCGGCGGCAGGGCCTTGTCCGGATTAGGCTCTCTCAGAGCCCATAAGAAGGGAAGCCCGGAAAGCTCGAGCCCATATGCTATTTCAAGAACCTCCTTTTTCTTGAGCTTATGTTCGCTCCCGAAACTGACGAACACGACGGACCCTGGTTTACGCTCGTCGAGCCAGTCGAAAATTTTACTCCACGGCTGTTCGTCTTTGATTGTTCTTGTCATCCCTCTTGACTTCTTCTCGGGCGGAAGAAAACCGAGCGAGAAGACTGGCTTTTGAGTAATTTCCGAGAGTAGTGACCAGTACTCGCCTTCGAATCCCGGGCTCGTGCGCACAGTCAAAGCCCGGCTGCCGTTGACCAATTTCGCAAAACGGGCCCCACCCGAGATCCCGGTCTCGTCTACTCCGTACAGGACACTGTGCATCATGTCGGTTTCGTGATCCCTGCACACGACTTTCGAGGGAAAGTCGACCCATTTTGGCGGGACCATTAAATCCCGAGGAGATCTTCTCCCGGCCCGTCTCGTGTCCTCTTCATGGCCATCAAGAAGCTGCTCGGGTGTCCAGAAGAAAACTGCGGTGCTGGCACTTGTGATGGAGTTTGTGATAATGGGTATTTTCAACTCTTGAGCAATATCAACTGCCCAATGAGGGAAAAAGTCCACTATTAGCCAGCTTGGGAGTTTGTTTCCTAGGAAATTTCTGATGGGTTCTTGGAGGTGATCACAGGCTATTTTCAGGCTGCCCATTCGATCGACAGGGATGTCTATGGTGGCTTCTGCATTTTCCGGCAGGGGATACGAGTCGAGCTTCGGGAGGGAAAAGGGTATGAAGTCTATGAAAGGCGATAAATCTTGCGGGATTTTCGGGAGTCTTTGGATATTTCTTGAGGTCGAGAGGAACGATACGTGAATGCCGTGTTTGTTTAAGGCAATGGAGAGGTCTAAGAACGGGATCAAGTGGCCGAACGCTAACCATGGAAGCATCACGAACTTCCTTCTCGTTTTCGCTCATATTTATTCGAGTTCTTTCAGGTTTGTTCTTTCTCTCTTTTGTTTTTTTTTTTTG